CTGAATTCGGCTAAACTGTCGATTAATGTTGTGTTATTGCCTGGCGAGTTGTGCGCTTCTAATGCATATTGTCTATTTAGAGACGTCCCATTAAACCATATTTTCACGCCTTCAAGGTATTCATTGTAATCGGTTAAAACCTGAAACAAAAAATCCTATAGCTACAAGTTCGAAACTTTATACCCAAGAATGTTTCGTGAACAAAGTTACTTACGTCCCAGACGACTTTTAATGTAGTTGCCGACGTCCCTTCTACCCTCCTCAACGCTAAAACGTCTTGTTGTAAATATCTTCGTGCCTGTACTAATTCGTATTGCGTCATTGGCGGATGGTTTTGAGGCTTCCCCAGTTCTGGATAGGGTGATGATGACTCTGAGTCTCCTTTGAATGCGTTGGCTTCTCTTCTTAGAACCTAAAATGGATCTTAAATTATTGCCACTGCGACATAAAACTGCTTGTCTCGTGTAATTAAATTATGATAGTCTCTAACCTGCAGAGTAGCTGTATGCAAAGCACTCCCCGCGGCGCTTACTGCCACACAAGTAAGCCTCCCAGCATGTTGTGTCATCACCCGGTCCAAATATAAGGACCCCGAACCGTGAGATGACTTTGGGAATACCAATTCCTGTGAATCGAATTATAATTTGACATATCACTGGTAATTTAACTGTCTTATGGTTGAAATAATAATATAAATCAAGTTACCTGAGATCCCTCCATAGTCCAAAATACAACAGGTTTAGGAGACCCATCAGCTTCACATGGGAAAGACACAGCTTCTCCTTCCCAAGCAGTTTGGTCTGAAGGCACTCTCGTGAAATGAGGTAAAGCTAAAAAAAAACAAGGTTACATTAAGATAACATAATAAATACTCACTTATTTGTGACTATTATTGTAAAAGTACTTACAGTGAACAGTGAGAATAGCAGCAGCATGACTATTTCCAGCAGGACTCTCCGCTTTGCAAGTGTACACTCCTGCATCCGAAGGTGTGACTCTGTCTATCCTCAACGATCCTCTCCTAATGATAGCATAGGGTGATAACGAGCCGTTATCTCGAGACCATATCACTGAAACGTCAGATTCTGGAGACGCCTAAAATTGGAATTTGATTTTGATAAATAATCGGCCGTCGAAAGTTAGGCAGCAAATTTCAATACATGGAGAATCTGATCAGATTTCCAGTAAGATAAGACTTCAGGATATTAACAAACTTAAAATCAAGTTACGGAAATTAAATAACTTTAATTGATTAATGATTACTGATACATGGAAGCTTTCAAGCCACGTGTCGACTTACTTGACAGTGAAACTCGATGTTCTGGCCTATTAGCGCCGTTATGTTATTAGGTTTCACTAGAAAATGTGGTCTCCGTAATACGAGTAAGGTGGCAGGACGTGACTGCCTCTCGCCCGCCACATTTGATGCCACACATCTATACACGCCGCTGTCCGAAGGAAGACTTTCGAGAATTTTCAAATTTCCTCCATCTACCACGGATATCCTGCAATATAATTCTCGTTACTTTTCTTGGTTCTCTTTCATGTGAACTCATATTTTGTTACTCTTTGCAATGAAATCTAAGCCTAGGCGCAGACCACCGATTTTTTGTCGGCCTATAGTTGAGTCGGGCTGAGAATCAGTATGGACATGTGTATGAAAGCGCGCACATTACACCGATTTGGTATCGGAAGATCCCAGAATCGGGCCCAACTATCGGCCAACTAAAAATCGGTGGTCTGCGCCTAGGCTAACGGTTAACACGTAGACGCATATTTTACAATGTTCTAGGCATTCAATTGCGAGTTCTATCGTCAATATCAAATCAGCTTGAGCAAGCCAGACTGTCTGGTATGTGAATTAATTTAGACATGGGGTACAGTCTACTGGACATTTTAGTTCCAAAATAGCACCTATTCCAGCTAAATAAGGTGCCACAGTTTTATTAAGGTTGATGTGTGACTATTAAATAGCACTTTTAGACTAGTGAATTGATGCAGCGAGGATATCGCGTGATGTTAAGCAATAAACCAATAATATTCAAAACCCATCTACGCATTATCGCCAGTATTTATGTTCTGGTAACAATAGACCTTTTGTCCTTTAAAATAAGTCTCACATTAAGGCAGTATTTATAACAATTACCTTCCATTAACCTCCACGTCCAGGCTCTGTCCATCCTTCGTCCAGTGTACGCCAGGATCGGGCACGCCTCTTGGAGCAGAACATTCTAATAACGCTGGCTCCCCACTCGCTACTTTAAAATCCCGTGGTTCCGATCTGAAGTCGTCACGGAGAACTAAAAAAATACTCTTACTTAATACGAATACCATTATTTTGTGTATAAAATACTTAGGTATATCTATGAATTTATTTTTTCCACACAACAATATCAATTGTAGAAGTTAGTATGGTAACTAACTACATTTATTTTTGTTATTTTATCATTATTTCAGTCATGATTCAATTATTTCATTCTAACACAGTATAATATTTCTCTACCAATTTAACATATTCTTTAGTCATTCTAAGACTGGGTTGCAGTCAGTTAAACTCCATACAATGAGACAAGAGGTAGAGCAACTTGGCTTAAGCATCGATCGAGACACCTCCAACGAAAACCAGTAGAGTTTGCTGAAAATTCCAGCTCGCATTCCCCGAGCTTACACATAGCATATGTTTTATTAATGCACTTACCGGCTATAGTGAGCGTGGCGTTCTTGCTAACCGCTTCTCCCACGGAGTTGCGCGCGACACACCAGTACACCCCCTCGTCACTCTCCTTTTTCCCTCGCATAACCCTACAAAACGTACGCGTTAATTTTTACGTTATCGTATTAAGCTTTGGCCAAACCAACGCGGGCGATGGCGATCACTGCGCGTGCACAGATCACCGCGACCAATGAAGCGTTGATGTGAACTTTTTACTCATCGCTACAAATTCATACACGACATCTGATCGCCATCGCGCACGCAGGCTGCAAGGCTAATATTATGGTTGAATATTAATTTGTAGTTTGAAAGTTACACAACGAAGACCTTTTAAGTACGTGTAATGGTCATTAGGAAACAATATCTATCATAGAATTAAATAAGTTCTTGCTAACCGCTTCCCCTACGGAGTTGCGCGCGACACACCAGTACATTCTCGTCACTCTCCTTTTTTCCTCGCATAACCCTAAAAAACGCGCGTTAATTTTTGCGTTATCGTATTAGGCTTTGGCCAAACCAACGCGTGCAGATCGCATCAGCGATGATGATGGCGATTACTTACTGCGCGTGCAACGCGACCAATGACAGGACGCGTTGATGTGAACTCATCGCTACAAATAGGTAAACGATATCTGATTGCCATCGCGCACGCAGGCTGCATGCTGCGTTAGTTTGGCCGAACCTTTACAAGGGTAATATGTTGAATATTTGAAAATTACGCAACGAACACCTTTAAGTACGTGTAATGGTCATTAGCAAACAGTATCTATCATAGAATTATGTCGTTCTTCCCCCACGGAGTTGCGCGCGACACACCGGTACACCCCTATGTAACTTTTTTTTTGCCGCGCATAACCCTACAAAACGTAGCACATTAATTTTTACGTTATCGCGTTACAGGGTAATGAGGTTGAATATTGATTAGTGGTTTGAAAGTTAGACGAACACCTTTATGTACATGTAAAACTCATCAGTCCTTGACTAAGGCACCCATAATATGCCTGGTGTTTTTTGTTACGTTAGACTTCAGATTTGTATGCTCTGTCACGTCATAATATGATAAAAGTTATCATAGAATTAAATGCTATAGATAAAGGCATCTACAAAGTGTAAAAAATGCATCGTAGTACAAAATCAAACGTTATTTTCCAAAACGCAGTAAGAAAAGTTAACAACATGAAGATAACAACTCGAAGTCCTCTGCACATAAAAAAATTTACTGGGAAAATTTTTTTTTCCAGCTTGTTAAAATATTAATTTTCCATAAGGACACGTGCATTTGTATTAGCGATGGGNTAAATCGACTGTAAAGTTTCGATTTCATAAAAAAGGAAGTGTATTTTTACGGCGAACAATTGGGAAATAAATTTTCTTGTTACTGGTATCATTCCCGTATTTAATTTTTGAAAGCCAAATTCAAGCAAAATACGCGTCGAATCGTAGTAGGGGAGACCGGGGATAGTTGACTAATTTTTTACTAAATCATAAATATTTTTTGTGTTTTCATCCATACAGACAAATAAATCGCATTAATGGATAGAAGAACTATTAAACTAATAAAAAACAACAAAACATAGTTCATTATTAAATATTATCATCATATTTAAATGCATTTTATAGAACATCAACTCTTAGTCAATCTACCCCGGTTCCGGGGTAGATTGACTATATGCCCGGGGTAAGTAGACCTACGTATCAATAAGCAAGAAATTATGAGCAGAGTCAAGTAATAAAACACTGTTTTAAATTTAATTGAACTCTTTATTCAAAAACAATTATAATCAGGTACAAGACATCTTTAATAAGTCTTTAAAAAAACTATAAACTTTTTAAACTAAAATCTTCAATCTTCTTAAATCACATATCAATCTTTGTATACAGGGTGTCCCAGATGGGTGAATCAAACTGATAGGGGAGGCAGCTCTAAAAATGTACTATCCCTAAAAAAATATGAAAAAAAAAGCTCATAAGGACACAATTTTTTTTAAAGTGAAAATAAATCATCTTTGCCTAAGTATCTGGCTATAATTGCTGCGTTTGGAGTTTATTTGTACTTTTTATTACTAATATTAATTGTACATGATCGCTTCGTTTATCTGTAAACAAACTTTTGAAAATAATTACTAGATTTCGAGTTTAGAGCACTTTATTAAAAAAAAAATCCGAACTCAATTTTTTTTTCCATATTTTTTTGGGATAGTACATTAGTAGATCTACCTCCCCTAGCAGTTTGATTCACCCATTCTGTGACACCCTGTATAGTACTTTTACGTTATTTCTTCTATTATCTAAACGTGGCGCCGCTTTAGGAAAGGGTCTTATTTCTTCATCGTTCAGTCGTTCGTTTATAGATCCTCATCGTGCTGTAGCAATAAAAAGAATGTATGTATTAAGAATCGAATAAATAGATAATTTTAAAGATATTTTAAACTCAAAATGTTATTCGGGTTGGTTGATTCAACCAGCCCCGAAAGAAATTAGTCTACCAACCCCAAACGACATTTTAAGTTTCGATGGCATGGATAACCTACACACTGCCACCTAATAAAGAAATAATACAAGAAATAATATCAATATGGACTCATAAAACACTCTGACTAATAGGCAAACGGTTAACATAAAATGTGTAGGTACCAAATCAAAAAATATGCAACACGAAAATATTACTTACATGATATGAAAACAAATCACGGGTCACTACTCGAAAACGGCGTGTGCCGGCGACGCGGCGTTACCGACGACTGAGCAGGGGGCGGAGAGTGATACACGGCTGCGCTGGGATCACACAACACTCAAACCATTGGCGAGTTTTTGGCGGTTAGTCTACCTACCCCTATAGTCAACTATCCCCGGTCTCCCCTACTTACTTATGAAATGTAACACTGGTCACTTTCTTTAGTTTTTCTGATATATTTAGACACCCTTTCACAGCACAAACCGTCTTAATTAATTAAAAGTCGTCGGACGTGTTTACCAATTTTTCACTTTGACAGTTCATGTGACGTTTACGAGTAAGCCATTCTGGCTTACTAAAATCTGCCTCACCTTTCGTGCACTGACTATCTATCTAGGTTTTATTAATCTAAGGGTTAAATATTAAATTGTAGTTTGAAAGTTACACAATGAACACCGTTAAGTACGTGTAATGGTCATTAGTAAACAGTATCCATCATAGAATTATTTGTCGTTCTTCCCTCACGGAGTTGCGCGCGACACACTAGTACACCCCTTCGTCACTTTCTTTTTTGCCGCGCATAACCCTACAAAACGCGCGTTAATTTTTACGTTATCGCGTTACAGGGTAATGAGATTGAATATTGATTAGTGGTTTGAAAGTTAGACGAACACCTTTATGTACGTGTAAAACTCTTCAGTGTGCCTACCATGAGTTTACGTTAGGTGAGCTCGCTAGCGAATACGTCAAAAAATTCTATAAAGATTTTATTTCTTGAAAGTAGCCGCTAGGGGCGCTGCACAATATGTCATACATTTAAATGTCATTTTTTTACGCAATCGCTAGCGAGCACACCTAACGTAAACTCATGGTAGGCACACAGTTCATGACTGAGGCACCCATATGCCTGGTGTTTTTTGTTACGTTAGACTTCAGATTTGTATGCTCTGTCACGTCATAATATGACAAAAGTTATCATAGAATTAAATGCTGTCTATAGCTTTATCTATCAAGGCACCTACAAAGTGTAAAAAAATTCATCGTAGTACAAAATCAAACGTTGATTTTCCAAAACACAGTAAAAAAAGTTAACAACATAAAAATAACAACCCGAAGCCCTCTGCACATAAAAATTTTACTGGGAACATTTTATTTTCCAGCTTGTTAAAATATTAATTTTCCATAAGGACACGTGCATTTGTATGTATCGTCCAAACGAATTAAGTTTGTGAATACCCTATCTAATTTTTCTACACGATTTCTATTTTATGTTGCAAACCTTAATTCGAGTTCGTGAAGCGAAAACAATATCGATCTGGGTTTTTTCACCTGCAGAATGAGTCTAGTTGGCCGTAACACGTAATCTTTGCCGACAAACATTGATTTAGTTCTTACTTTATTTACCTGCTCTATCATATTTTAGTTATGCGTGCAAATAAATAAATAGAAGATTAGACACTACAAGTAAAAGACATAATTTTTCTTAATGAATTGTATAATAGGCAAAATGTGAAAAGCTTTTTCTATTTTTGTTCATTTTTAAATCAGGAATTAGGTAGTTTACTCCATTGACCAAAATTCGACTATAACCTTTACTTAATACGAGTAGTTAGGTATTCAATTTACCTACTTAGTTGGAGAGGATTCGATTGCCCCACAGAATGAGAGAATTTGGACAGCTCCTAAAAAGCTATTTATTAAAATAGCTAAAAAGCTATTTATTAAAATAGCTTTTTCAGCAAATGGATAAAGGTTTTAATAAAATGTACCAACCTAAGAAACAGCAATCCGTCTTCAAGCAGGACCCTATGAGGGTTGTCAGTCGGCGCGAGCGGTGCCCCATCTTTGTACCAATGGATTGTTGGCTTCGGCTTGCCCTCCGACACGCACCGTAGAGTCGCAGGTTCACTTCTCCCCACGATCGTATCCACAGGATGCTCCTTAATACGCGGCGCACGACTTTGAGCTTCAAAAAAATTCATCCACAATACTTCGTTATAAAAACTGTTTGAACAACAAACAGACAAACTTTTTTGATTACAAAAACTGTCCCCGTGTTTGCTTTGGGAGCAAACGAAGCGATGTAAACATGGGGTCCGTAATGGGTAAAATTAAGTTTGGGCGCAAATATTTGTAGGTAGTGAAACATTTTTCCGATAAATACATGAACATTCGATACTCTACTGTACTCTTGTCCTTGGTAAAGCAATTAATAAAAAATAATTTTATAATGAGGAGGAGAATGTTATTTTAAATGTAAGTAATTAAAGGGACACTAAAATGACAATTACTTGCAAAACATTAACATTTTCTTCTACAATTTGTTTACTTCATTTACTTAGTTCATTTAAATCTATAAAATGCTTAAAAAAGTATGATACTAAATCAATATTATAATACATTTCATTGCAATTTTATTGCAACCTTTGGGAGCTTTTCGGCAAACATTAATTAATATATCAAACAATGAATAAACACAATTAAGTAAATTTGACTGAATGTGATAAGATAAATTTCTCAGTAAACCTGCAAAAGAAAGTTCTACCAAATCTACACTTCCTCAACTAGGAAACTTTTATTATTAGTTAATATCATTGCTCACAAAGAACAGCTTTAAGCTTAGGACTCTAGCAGTCATAGAGCAAAAAAAATCGCCTTTGTTTAAACTTTTTTGGCTCACCTCTTGCGAATGGGTAACTGAACAAAAGATGCAAAACCACGACACTCTTGAACTGGTTCCATACACGTTTATCTGTTTTTATGGATCCCGCGACCATAATGACACTAATTAGTCACTTTGTCACACATATTTCGGCACTCAATCCAGAAACTTCACTTGTTTTTTAATCCAAAACTATCGGGCAAGATCGTAGTGAATATTTCGAAACATCGCGATGTGTTTGGAGCGCCTTGCGATACGACCTCCTCGTCTCAGTTCTTTGGGCTTACTGCCCCCTCTCTTGTTGTCATTTCGCGCCGACTCCGTAGCGTCGAGCTTTCGGACTGAAGCGAGGTCCGATGATGATTTAGCACGTGGTCACTTTTTTGCGAATCCTCGTGATAAATGCGTCCGTAAATCTGTATGGGTGTTTTGTTGAACAAATTAAAGCAGTTCGTAACCATAATAAATTATTCATTGTGTCTTTCAATAAAAACGATAATATTTTTCTGATGAATGCTTTCATTTACGTTTAACAAACCATTATAATAAAACATTGTTTTGTTTATTTACTTATTAAACATGATTGCTTAATTTTGTTTAACTGTGTATGACCACAGTTAAAACCAAATTAACTAATTATTCACAAGATAATGTTAATTCCTTTAACATTAAGTTATCGACACCCGACATTAACAATAAGAAATTTCGATCATTTTTTTCTATTGTTTTGCTGATACTTATGATGTTAGGATAGTAAAGATACTTACAATTAATAGAAAAACTAATAAGCATAATACATATTTTTATAACCATCTGTCCGATGTTATAATTATATCCCGTTTCATTTACCCCTTATCGAAAATTTAATATGTATATTGTTTTTGTGCTCTAACAACAAACTTAGCGAATACATGATGATAAACATAAAATTATGATTCATGCATGCAAATCCTTTATGCAAATAAATAATATCAGCAATTATAATAATACAATAGACGTATTTGTGTACAAAGCAAAATAAATTATTCAAGCTTTGCACACAAAGCTTTGTTTCATCAAACAATTATACGCTAATTAGTTTTCAAAATTACCAAACAAAATCCACTTAACCGATTTCATTTGAACACCTATCCCTGGATTAAACCAGGCCCAAATAAGGGAGCTTCGACAATTCTGACCACGCGTCAGGTTGAACGTGTCAATTGGGACGCTGAGGCATTCCCATCACGTATCTAGTTACCTAACTGTGGTGAGGCCACAAACTTACGAACTACTGGATAAGGGTGCTGATGTTGAAACAACTTGCAAATGTTTGCAGGGCCATAGAAAATAGGTGTAAGGATATCGACGCGAATCACTCATATACGCTTGAAATAATTAGAAACTCGTGAAGAGTAATAATAATTAAAACGATCATATTAAGACTTGGCATACGTAGCTAACTCAGACCCAAAAGTCAATACAACCCCTATAAATAAAAAAACTGGTAAAACTTATGTGGATATTTGTGTTGGTTAAAGTTTTTCAAGGTAAAAGCTTTGCTAAGTTCGAAAAAAGATGGACCCGGGATTGCTGCGATGAAAGTAATTCTTATTGCTCCATTAAATTTCTTAATAGTTACTCGTATTTTCATTACTATGATGATAAGTGCTCAATTTATTAACACAGAATAGAGCATAGAAAGTATACAGTAAAACGATGCAGAAAATTGGATCGATCAGTCAACAGATTAATATTTATAAATTGAAGCAATTAGTCTAAAATTCAATCAATGCAAATTATAGATGGAACGATAGCAAACAAGATCTTCCAAGGAGATAAAGTACTAAATAAATTACCAATGAATGTGAAATGATCACAAATTGAAACTGTTTTATGCTAAAGATAATAATTATGGTCATTGAAGTAAGTATTGAACATTTACATAATAGTATCCTACTCGTATTATTAATGAGAAAGTAATAAAAACGTAATCATCTTATTATTTATCATTGATTTTATAGTAGTAAATACTTTAGGAGCAATAACAATTAATTCATATCTATAACTACTTCAATTGATGATATTTTATTTATTTAATTAATGTCAGTAACGTTCAAAATATAAACATCATTCATTCATTCCTTATAATGTACTTCTGATAAGAAACTTAATTTAAACTCTTAGTTAACTGTAAGTTATAACGGAAATATTTTTAATGTTCTATAATGTATATTTATTGACAGTAAATACTTTAACGTATTATAATTGAAAACCCTAAATAGCTCTGTTGTAACACACATCCAGTGACTCTACATCCTCGACGATTCCCTTGCCACGTCAAGCCCTGTGTAATCAAACTATCAGGCCGGGACAAAGGAGGTTTCCTTCATTAACTCCATACTACTAAAATATTCATTAACTATAGTTTCTATTCAAGAGACTGTTTCGGGAAAGCCAGCAAAGGATATTGAGCCATTTAATTTAGTATCCATGAAGGAGGCTAGCCCGTAAAATGTATTACTTACTTAGTTTAACATAGTAAGTGCT